CGCGTTGGCTGCAGGAAAGGCCGTCGCTTGTCTCATGTAGTACGCCGGCGCAACCTGCGACTCGTTGACGACTATCATGCCTATCAAATCTGGTCACCCCTTCCAAGCGATGTCCCAGCGCCAAAGCAATGACACTTGCGTGCTTGGTTTACGCGTGCTCTTCTGGAGGCTGTCGCGTCAAAGGACTAGTTGTTTCTAGCGCTCTCTAGGAGCTTTGGGTGCAACTGGGAAAACACGAGACGCAGTTCCTACCGCGGAGATACCTCTCCCGTGTCGTAGAGACGCCCGAGACACGACGTTGCTCGACGAGAGCGCACAACGCGCGATCGGGGCGCAGAGAGACGCATGGGACGGTGTCCTCCGCACGATGTGCACCAGCCGGCGTGGACGCGTATGTGCATCTGATCACTCGAGAGCTCTGTCGCATGACGTGGATGGGCGAGGGCTACTGTGTCGATACGCGATGGAGCCCTGTCGTTGCGCCACGTTTTTTCGATCGCGACGGCCCTCTCGACTCACTTTTCAATTTGCCTCTTCTCCAAACCATGGTGGCTTCCATCTACTTGACCATGCTCGCTGCTTCGGCTGTCGTGTCGCTGAGCGCGCCGACCGACTGCCCCATCACGGTGTGCCCGATGTACTACCAGCCCGTATGTGGCTCGGACCGTGTGACGTACTCCAACAAGTGCGAGCTCGACGTCGCGGCGTGCAAGATCCCGGGTCTCACGATGGCCAACGCGACGGCGTGCGGATGGGAGACGGCCGAGTGCCCGCGCTACTGCCTCGAGATCTACCGCCCCGTGTGCGGCTCGGACGGCAAGACGTACTCGAACGAGTGTGAGCTCAACATTGCCGCGTGCAAGAACCCGTCGCTGACGCGCGCGCGCGACGGACCGTGCAAGCTGCCGACGCCGACGCCCAAGCCATCGTGCTCGGACGCATGCAACAAGATGTACGAGCCCGTGTGCGGCTCCAACTGGGTCACGTACGCCAACAAGTGCCTCCTCGAAGCCGCGCAGTGCCGCAACCCGAGCATTCTCCTCGCGGCGACCGGCGACTGCAAGTGCAACTACGCGTGCATGCGCAGCTACGACCCGATCTGCGCGTCCGACAAGCGCACGTACAGCAACTGGTGCGAGTTTAGCAAGGCCGTGTGCAAGCAGCCCGAGCTCACGTTCCGCAGCATTGGCGTCTGCAAGAAGTAGGCGCCAACTCGAGCACACACGAGGTACTACCAATGTACTGACAAGCGTGTCGATCCAGGGATCCCTTTATCCACTACTTTCTCTATTGTTAAGCCAAATTGCATGTTGTACTTCCAGCGTCGGGTTGTTGAGCAGCGGCAAATGGCAAGAGGGAGGCCAGTGTCAAAATGTGATTATACCCAGCGCGTTTGATTTTCACCAGTAAAGATTTGAGTCTCGGCGGGTTTCATGGGTGCCAGCCAGCATGGACACGACTTGCAGTTGACTTCTCGAGTAGCTGTGTGCAGTACGCGCGAACCTGGTCATTTGCGCAGATAATGCGACCGGTCCTTCGACACCGGCTATGGTCGCTTCGATCCCTGAGCAACCCGGTGCCGGTACCCTCCGAATGCACCAGATTCCGATCACCGTGCTTTGCATTTGGCGTGCACGACAGGTGTCTCTTCTTCAAGTCGCAGTGAGTGACAGCAGCTCCTCTGCCCACAGCCGCTGCATCCGCTTTCCGGCATGTGGCCCAACAGAAAGCAACGGGTCGTAAATGGAGTACAAGGTTGATGCTCCGCCTCCATGGTCGTCAACCTGGTCGCGCCATGACGCGCCGATTTGCACGCGGGAGCCAGTCCTTCGAAACTCTCGGTCGCTGGATCGTTGCGGTGTCACGCTGCCACGTCACGGCGGCCGTCCACCCAGTACATGTACCAAGTGCAAAGCGCCCAGCGTCCACCAACCCAAGGGAACTTGACCAACCTTACGACTGCAGCGAAGCATCGCCCCAGGGCTGCATGGCCGTCGCAACCACGATGCATACAACTAAACCTAATCCTTGTTGCGCATTACGAGACCAATGAGTGTCTGTCCCGACTACTTCGGTCCGTGCTAGTCGTCTATGGTACATACGCGCATGCTTCTTCTTCTTTTGGCGCTGTCGACAGAGCTCATGCGAGCAAACCGGCGCGTTGCAGCGCGCGGTGGGCTCCACAAGCATGCTTCTTCAATCGAGGGTCGACGATGGATTCCCATTCTTGGATGAGCGCCAGAACGGCGCCCGCGCCGTCGGCGTTGGCGAGCTCCTCATAGTACAAGGGGCAGAGGATCTCGAGGATGTGCAGACTCTCGCGCTGCAGGTCCGAGGCGATGTCGGCGCCGCCGGCCGCCATCGTCATGATGACTTGCCACCCATCGCAGTTGATGAACGCGCGCCGGCACTCGGGGTCGTCGCAGAGCCGCGCGAGCGCAAACGACGTGCACTGGACAATCTTCTTGTCCGAGGACGTCGTGAGGCGCACGAGGTGGGGCACGAGCGCAGCCATGATGTCCTTGTACTGCGGCGTCGTCGCCAGCGAGATGCTCGCCAGCACGCCCTGGAGCTGCACGTCGCTGTGCTTGCTCGTGAGCATCTCGTGAAGGGACCGGACCGCGTCCTTGACGTGGAGGTCGGTGGGCGATGCGGTCGTCGACGGGACATTGAGTGGCGCCGGACGCTTGTGCTTGAGCGGCTTTGTCGCTCCTTGACCACTGAGGAGCTGCTGCTTCTTGCATGCGTCGACGGCCTCGCCGTACATGTCCATCATGCTCACGATATCGCCGTCCCGACGCTGAAACTCGACCACGAGCTCGGCGCCGGCTTTGAAGAGCGTCACGTTCAGTTGGACGCGGCTCGTGCCGAGGACGCGCGAGACCTTCCACTTGCCCTTCTCAGCCTTGAAGACAAAGTCGGCGCCCATGTCCATGAGCTTCTGACCGATCGTCATGCAGAGGCGCTGGAGGCTCGTGCCTTTGACGTGAAAGTGCGAGTGCATCTCAAGGCGGAACGGCGGCGGTGGCAGCGCTTTCACCACCGTCTTGCCATAGTTGGTCGGGTCGACCATCGCAATGCGCGGCTCCGACGGCGTGTGAGCCTGGCGCGGCTTGGCGCGCGCGCTAAACGGCGCCGGTGCGGCCATCGTGAACGCCGGCGCGTGGTGCATGTGGCCAAGACCCGGGCCAAACTGCTGCGGCATGGCCATGGCCGCGATCGACCGGTACTCGATCTTGTCGTCGGCTTCGTCGAGGACGCTCGGGACATGCGGCCGCGCCGACGTCGTCGTCGTCTTGGCCTCGTCCTTGGCTTCCTCGTCCTCGAGCTGCTTCTTCTTGGCCTGCTCGTCGGCGTCCGTCGTTGCGTCCCGGCGGTCCATCGTTGGTTGCAAAATCCAAAATGGCCATACAAAAGGCGAGGTCCATTTCTACAGCGTGACGCCATACAAACAGCCAGTCTAAGCGCTGGCCACTTGCCGTCTGCTTTTTCGAGCCATCTGATTGGCCAAAAAAGCGTTTCTTATCCAACTGGCTGGAATCATATTTTTCGACGGAACGTTCGCCGCGCCTTCCGGTCCCGTGCGTCCACGGATTCCTCTTGGCATGTGTATACCATACAAACACACTGTGTCGCGGTCAGAGACCACGGCATACGCCGCGCAAGTGCGCGCCTCGTCGCGCCATCCAAAGCTAAACCCACCCAACTTCACCCCTGCTGGCATCGTCGTGGGCAACCGCTAGCGGCCAACCGATAGCAGATCTTCGACGCAAAACCCACGTCGTCAACATGGTGGTTGAGAGTCGTTCGAGTCCTTTGGCGTAGCGTGTAACGCGCTCGCACTCGCTCTTGCTTTCTTCATAGCGTGACGCCAGCGAGTGGCTTCATTCCTTCGATTCACACGGTGTTGGCATTTGTGGCAAATAGCCAGCTGCACAAAACCTGCCACCGACCACCTGTGTGTGCCAGACGCGCGCCATCGTCTCGGCCAACACGGCTTGTCCCGGGCAGCTTGGGCGTCCGCAAAGGCATCGATTAGGTGACGGCCCACTCTTCGCCGCGAACGGGTTGGGTGCACGACTCGGCTCGGTCGTTGTATGGCGCCCTGAATGGCGACGACAACGAACAGTCGGGGCGGTGGCGCCAAGTTGCGTGATATTAGTCGATCGCGTCCGCGAAACGCTCGCCGTTTCTATATTGCCGTTTGGCAGACAGGCGGCGCTTCGAAACGAAGACGTTCGTCTTCCCAACGTTGTGGGCACGCCTCGGGTGGTCGCGGTTGCGCCGGAAGATCCTTTGCTACCGTCGCATGTGAGTCTGGCCAGAGAGTGGACTTCTCCGCTTCTCCGCTTCCGCGCGTCTTCCGGGGTTGACGACAGAGAACTGCGTCATATCACTGCAGTGTACCAACCAAGCACGCCTGCCTACGTGGCACGCGCACAGCGCGCGAGAGCCATCTCGTACCGGTACAAATGGTCGTCGCGATGGCCCATCGCCCTCCTGTGCCTACCGCAGGAATGGGATCGGGTTGAGCGGGCGACAGCGTGCTACTTCAACCACACAGAACCAACGGTCCACAGCAATCAGCGACGACGACATATCGCAGCACAGCAAGGTACCGTGCTGGTTCTGTGCCACCACATTTGCAGATCATATATTGTGTGCGACTTCATTCGCAGCCACATCCGTTGCCCCATCGGCCCTGAAATACGGGACTCTCATGTCGCCGCCTGTGCCCTTCCGACGACCATATTCTTTCAGCTAACGAGAGCGTACTCGGCTCGTTGAGCATAGAATACATGATGACGTTAACCGCGTCACCAAAGGTACAGACAATAGCGTGCACAACGACTAGGCTGGGGCGACGAGCACATCCGTTTCGAGGCGCGTCGCGTACGAAGCAAGAACCTCGGCGGCGACCGCGAGCTTGGGCGACGCGGGGTCTTCGTCGCAGTAAAAGAGGAGCGTCTGGAGGCACAGATTCTCATTGTGGATCTGGTTGTTCTCTTGGGTCTCGCGCCAGTCTGGATCAAATTGCGGACACTGGGGCCCGACGCCCGAGAAGCCGAGCGTGCGCACCAGGTGTGTCCAGATCTCGCGAAAGAGGAGGCCGATCGCACCAAAGTCCAGATGCAAATAGCGGTCCCACTCGGCGTCCATCGTGCGCTGGAGGTCTCGCATCGACGGCAGCTTCTCGTTGCGCATCACCGGCGCCTCCATGTACGTGGCGAGGCGGTACGCGCGGCTGAGGTGCTCGGGCTCCGTCACATTCAGCGTCCGGCCCTTTCGCTGCATCTTTGCATGCGCCTTTTGAAACTTGCTCCGGCGGTCCTTGCTGTCGCGGTGCGCAGTCTTGGCGTCCACCTCGCCGGCTTGGTTGCGGGAGCTCGCAGCCACGACCGGTGCATCCTTGGCTTCGTAGCCCCACGCGAGAAGGTGCGCCTTGAGGAACCCACCGGGCGCGTTGGGGCGACTGCCGGCCCACACCGACTTGCCCTGTTCAAAGAGGTCGGCGAGCATGTCGAGCACCGGTACGGGCGCAACGTGATCGCGAATACGGAGCGCGTTGTAGAGGTGGAGCACCAAGCGGCCTTGGCCAATGTCGTCCAAGAGGAAAATGCCCGTGTCGAGGCCCAGCGTCATCGTGGTCATGAGCACATGCTGGCCGGCCATCCACGGGTTGAGCCACGCGCGTGCGACCTCGTTCTCGGTAAAGCCAGGGTACGTGGTCGCGATACGAAGCGTATTGCCGAGCCAGGCCACCGTGACGTTGAGGTTGCGCTTCGTGTGCGGCGGTGAAAAGAGCTCGCCGGGCGACTCCTTGAACGTCTGCAGGTGCTGGAGCACACGGCGCATCGCGTCCGTCGCGTACGCCCCGACGCTGGCCACGGTTACCGCGTCCGAGGGGGGTCCTTGGACCGCCAAAATCGACTCGAGCAGGCACTGCGCCGCAAATACAAACGGAAGCGTGACCACTTGCGTCGTCTCGTACTCCTTGACGAGCTTGTGGAATGGCATAAAGTCGTCTTGGTGGTCAATCTTGAACGCGCGCTCGTCGAGCACTTGATGCAAGAGCGGCGGCAGGACGTCGGCGAGGAGCGTCTGGAACAAGGCCTTGCGCGTCGGCGCCGACTGCCTACTCTCGTCCCAAGTGGGGCCAAAGAAGCCGTCCCGGCAAATGAGCCGCGTCCCTGGCTGCAGTGCATCCAAGAGGCCCACGAGCAGCAAATGCAAGTCGAGGAGGTTGTCATTGTCGTCTTCGTCGAGGTGGTTTGTGTAGAAGAGCGCCGACCCACGGTTTACGAGATCGATCGGCATGACGCTCTGGAGCACCGAGTCGGCCTCGGACGCGGATACCTTGAGCTTTTGCATGACGATGCGGAGAATGCCGTCGTACTTGCGGGGCACGGCCGCTCAGCGCGAGAGCACAATGACCTCGACCATGCGCTCCAGCGGCACGTTGTACTGGAGCGTGATCGGCTCGAGCATGCCGTGGTCGCCAAGAAGCACAGCGATCTCGTCCAATGTCTTGAGATACGGGTGCTCGACCTGGAGCTCGCTCGAGAGGGTGCCGACGAGCTTGACACAGGCGTTGGTGACTGCGGTCGCCGCGACCAGCGTCGTTTTGCCCTGCTTGAAGTCGCGCCACACGGCCTTGACCTCGCCCATGAGCTCATCCATGTCCGAGACAAAGCACCACGCGCGGAACTTTTCGGCGTCGATGCGCGCGAGGAGCTTGGCGCGCGACGCCTCGGCCCGCGTCGGCTCGACGGGCGGGACGAACGCTGCGACGTCAAACGCCGGCATGTCGGGCGCGTCGGTATCGTCGTCGTCATCATCGACAGAGAGCGCGTCAAACGTGTTGGAGAGGTTCGTGGCGTCGACGACGGGCGCTGCAGGCGACGGCTGGCGGGCCTCGACCAACGGCTCGAGCTTGGCCTTGATCGCGCGAAGGAGGTCGAGGAAGTGCACGTGGCCCTCGTCCGGCTCTGAAACCGCTTGGCTCGAGAGCCACCGGAGGCGGATGCTACGCGTGAGCTGGCGCATGATGCTCGCTGGGACCGGCATCGCCTTGTCCGCGATCTTGACGGCCGCCGCCCAGATCATCGGCGTCGTCCACTCACCCGCGCTCGCCTTGGCCTTCTTGGCCTTGCCAACCGACGAGCGCTTGAGCCATGCAACGACCGCGTTCGTCGCCGTCTTGTACCGGTACCACCGACCACACTCGCTATGGCGCCCCATACTTTGCGTTCCGATACATTGTATGGCCTCGGAGCTTTGATGGCCGCTGGCAGACAGCTGGTGCAGCCAGTTCGCCTCAAACATGGGCTTTTTGTCCTAATTAGGTTGAACGGGGCCTTAAATGCGGGCTTTATATCCTAATTAGGCTTAATAAGGCCTCGGCTTGAAGGTGGCTGCGCTGCCATATCCGCTTGCCAGGTCATGCAGAGGCCACGAAAGGAAAATATGCAGACAGGCGTATGTTTTGTACAGCACTGGTACGCGGGACCACACACAACTCGAACGTGCTTTGGCAAGGGTCGCTACGGAACTGAGAGCGAAATCGTGTGGCGTTACCACTCGATGCGCACGCGCCAAGGTATCGCGGTCCGAACGATGGGCAAGCTACCGTACTGTAGATCTCGTTGCTGGTACACAAGAAAACAATTAGAGTTCATGCGTAGCTGCATCTAACGTTTGAAAGCTTGTTATTTCGAAGCATATTTCAAACAAGCCGAGAGGTCATGTGTACACTATGACTATATATTGGATAAAAGACACAAATTTCGAGACTACGTGGCGCGCGTCTCGCTGTCGCCTTAGCAGGCGCTGGCGACTTTGGTCGAGTAGTTTGCGTACGGCGTATCGTTCTCGTCGGGCAAGAGCACAGTGGCTTCCTCGTCCTCGCCGTCTTCGTGCGTCGAGAGGTACCGGAAGGTCCAGTACCCGAGCGAAAACATGAGCGTGAGGCCAATGAAGGGCGAGATGAGGATGATCGTGCTCACAGAGAGGAGGTAGATGAGCACGATGCGGAAGATCGCGTCCGTGATCATGAACGTGCCCCAGACGATGCAGAGGAAGCGTGAGACCTCGCGGACTTTGGGGTTGGCCCACTTGGCGTCCATCTCTTCCTTGGATTTGTCGGTGATTTGGCGCCGGAGGCTAAAGAAGAGATCTTCCTTCCATGTCAACGATAGAAAGTGCATCGAGCCAAAAAAAATCGTCGTGCACGAGTCCTTGGCCATGAGCACACGCGGGTCCGTCGTCAGCGAGAGCAGCACCAGCGAGAAGATCATCGAGAAGATTTGCATGAACGAGACCAAGTCCTTCCGGTTGTGCGCAAAGATCTCGTACAATGTCTTGAGCATCGGCGGCACGCCCGAGAGCGCCACGGCGTAAATCTCGGACGTGTGCGCCTTCATGTAGTTGTAGATGCCAATGGGCAGCGCAATGTTGATGACGACGATGCCAAGGATGTGCCACGTGCGGTCGGCATGCGACTTGGTCGGCGGGGCGTGCGTCGGCGACTTCATTTTGGACATTGAATCCGTGAGCTTGACGCGCGTGAAAAGGCAAAGTGACCAGCACTCTGAACGAATGTAGGTCGTTCAATCCGATCTCGTTGAAGGTCATCTCCTTGAAAACATTAGCAGGTACATTGCGAAACACGACTTTGCAGTCAAATAGTGGGATAAGCTCCCTATTAACAAGGTCATATGCCATTGCAAAGAGGGAGAGAGCATGTGATGCCCACGTTCACGTCACGCTCGAGTCATTGACACGGATCATGGGCCGAAGTTCTGGACCATAAACATCGAAGTAAGCGGTGGTGTAACACAGAGTTCCGCCCGAAGTCGAAGTTGGCGCGGCTGATAAAAGGGTAGTAAGCGCCGTCGTGCACGGCGCTTTACCCAAGTCAAGACGCAGCTGAGACGACGTAGCGCCACTCTAGACGCCAAGGTCGACGTCCAACGACCTCTGTCAACTCAGATGGCACTGGATTACGAAGGGGCTTCAAGAATCGACAAACCCTTCGATAAACTTTGTGGCACCGGCTAAGCTTAGTGGCATCTTATAGGCAGCTTTATAGTGTGCGAGCGCACTTGCTCGTATCCATTCCCTCAAGCTCCGCACAACCTTCGCCTTTGCAGCGGTCCAACAACTATAGACTCAAGCATCAATGCAGCCGCTCGTAGCTGCCACCCGTGTCGCCACTGCACAGGTGGTTCCCATCCGAGATGGGAAAGCATCGTCGGATGATCGCGTCGGGTGCGTGTTTACTCGGTTGGGGAAGCTTCTCGGGCCACTTCCGCCGGGACCAGTGTGGCTCAGTGGGTGGCTCCGACCGGCAGCGCTTCCTCCTGCAATGACGTGTGATCGAAATGTATTGTAGCACTAAGATCGCAGCCGCGCACGAGCCAATCCAGTAGCGTTGGCGTAGCGTCATGCACCTTGCACAACGAGTATCTATTTGTTGTATCTATCTTTCAAGTCGAGGCCGGATCCTCCGGATAAGTAGCCTGTAGGATTATCCGGCATCCGTGCAATCTTGCGGCTTTGCGATGCCCAACCAAGTGTCCACGGCGGTCTTCTGGAATATGTTCTACGGCCGCACGGCGAGCCCGGACGAGTGGTATCTCTCGTTCGAGCACGATGCGATGAAGGCCATGGCGCCCGAGCTGACGGCGCTCGCCGACGGCGCGCTCGTCCTGCACCTCGGCTGCGGCTGCTCGGCGATCGCAGAGACGCTCGCCGCCGCAACAGGCCGCCGCTTTGTGCTCGCCAACATGGACTTTTCTGGCATTGTGCTGCAGCAGCTGCAGGCCAAGGAGGCAGGCGCTACGAACTCGCTCGTGGAGTTTCAGCAGATGGACGCGCGTCACGTGTCGTACCGATCGGCGACGGTCGACTATATTGTGGACAAGGGCACGCTCGACAGGTACACACACGAATGACACGTGCAATGAGACAGTGTACCATGGGCGAGCTAGCATTCTGTCCGACTCGACCAAGGTGGACGCCAACAGCCGCCTTGTGACGAGCGAGCTCTGCCGCGTGCTCCGACCTGGCGGCAAGGTGCTCAGCGTCTCGACGTTCCACAGCGAGACCCGGTTGCGCTGCTTGGCACACCCAGGTTGGCGCGTCGAGTGCAAGGTGATTCCCACGACGCCGTACGAGTACCCGGACCAGCCCGAGTGTTATTTATACGTCATGACCAAGCTGTAATACCGCGTCAATTCATTCACGTCACCACCGTACCCATGCATGTGGATCGATCTGCGGTGACAACATGTACACTACATTCACGCCACCCCGACTAGAACCACCAGCATATATATATATATATGAATATCCTTTATCTTGGTTCACAGCGACTTCGCCCACGGAGAGACTCGCAAGCTCCCTTGTCTCCAAGCGCTCGCCGAGCATGGCCTCAAAAAAGTCTCTTAAACTCGTAGCGAGCGCGTAGTTTGTAGCTTCAGTAGTTAGTTTGTATTAGTGGTCGTAATAGCCATAGCCGTCTTCAAACAGGTCGTCGTCGTCGTCGCCGTAGGTTCCTTGATCGTCCGACAAATCGGATCGAATGCGCCATGCGATTGGAAACCACTCGGTGGTCGCCGCCGCCTCGCGGTCGGCTTGCGTCGTGCAGCCCGCGAGGCTCAAGTTGTCAAACACGAGCTTGTGCCCGATGTGCAACGCGCGGCGCGTCGCCTTTCTCGCGCCCCGTCGTTGCGGATCGCGGGCCGCCAGAAAGGCCAACACGTCCATGTGCCCGCCGCGCGCCGCCCAGTACAGTGCTCGAAACGTACAGCCGTCGTTGGTCGGGTGGGTGTATAAGAAGCGGACGATCTCGAGGTGACCGGCCGCGGCGGCCCAATCGATCGCGCGCGTCGTGCCGCCTTCGGACCGATGCGTCTTGAGGAATTGCACCATGGCGCCGTGGCCACGGTGCGCGGCGCGGTCGAGCGCGTTGGGCGTGCAGCCGTCGGACCGGCGCTCGTGCAAGAAGAGTACGATGGCCATGTGATTGTTGCGCGCAGCGGCGTCGAGGATACGCGGCCCAAACCCGCGCTGGGCAGCGGGGTGCGCATGCAGAAACGTAATCACATCCAAGTGCCCGTGCGCGGCCGCGCCGATCATGGCCGACGAGGGCACGCTGCCTGCCGCTGGACTGGACAAGAGAAGCGCGAGCATGTCGAGGCGACCATATGCAGCCGCATACGTGAGCGCGGTCTCGGAGATCTCGATGGCTTGACTAAAGTGCGTGACCACATATGTGAGCACGTTCAAGTGGCCTCGGAGCACGGCAGCTTCGATGTCGTACGCCTGAAACGAGAAATGGTCGCCGTAGACCCGCCGCACATGGTCTGCAACGTCAACGTGGCCGTTTGCCAATGCCAAGAGCAAGGCGTTGGCCGTGCAGCCCTCGGACCGATGGTCGCCGAGCCACTGCACCATGCGCAAATCGCCAGCGAACGCAGCGTGGTCCATTGCGTCCGTCGTGCACGCCGTCGAACCTGCGTCGTGGAGAAGCTTGAGCACATCCAGATGTCCGTGGTACGCGGCAACGTCCATGGCAAGGCCGTCGCGGCCATGCAGATGCTGGATCTGGCCGAGATCGACCTCGGTACTGGCTTGGAGGTGGCGAAGAAGTGTCACGTGACCGCCCGCAATCGCCGCGTGCGCAAGTGCGACAGGATGCGCCAAAAGCGCCGTGAGCTCATCGAGCCACATGTGCTGCATCGGTACATGATCAATGTCAAGGACGCGCACCATGGCCCGGGCGCCGCTTCCATCGTGGCCGTCGGCATAGTCGACCCGGTACGCTACCTCGTTGTAGTCGGATCGGCGTTTGACGTGCTCGTACATGCGACGCGACGTGATGAGGCGAAACGACTGGCAAAGACCTCCATGCGGCGGGAGACGTGGCAGCGCCGGAAGGTCGCCATCCCAGTCGCACCGAAAGACGTCTTGCCACACGGCGAGCGCAGTCGCGTCGGTCAAGGTGGCCGGAAGGTACCCATGCAGGAGCTGCGTGAGTGGCCCGGCGTAGGCGGCGATGACGTCATGGAGCACCTCGACGTCGTCCCAGCTCGGTGCCATCGCTCCCGCAACAATCCAATGACAGTCTGTCGCTCGCTTGATAGAATTTTTCCACCAATCAAGCGATTTCACAATGTCGATTTCAGCCAATGAAAATGCGTGGATATTAAAGAGTATAGTTAACGTTCCGCTCGGCTGCACTGCACTTGGGCGATGACTTCGACGCGCACACCAGATTCGCTTGACGCACGACGAGCTCGCATGTCCAACGAGTCCATGTGCTGGTAGCTGACGACGCGCCAGCCTGTAGTCATCAGCGTGTTCGGATGTGATCGGTGGGCGACCTTCATTTAGGATTAATCCTCGTGTTGAAGATGACGCCAGGAATCTTGTCGTCATCACGTCCATGCATGTTCGCCCTACGGCGCCGCAAGGGTACGTCAAGCTCGCATCCAATAGCTTCACGCGTAGGACACGAGGGTAGAACACTACTGTGTTGGGTGTTGGTGTATTCTCTTGTCCATTCACCGGAGCTAACGTGTCCGGAATGTTCGGTAGAGGTTAGCGAACACAAGTAGTGGTGACCTTCAGTTGCATCTCCGTCGTTTGGTAAGCGCACCTCTATCGCTACTACTTAGAGTCCTGCAAGCGCTGAACATGGCTCTCGAGTGCGGACTTCTTGGGACTCTCACGAGGTCTCTGTGATAACGTCGTGGCCTGTCCATTTCGACTCCATGTGTCCCACGGGACATGTCCTAATTAGGACACGTGGCGTTACCACGCTGACAACGCATCGCATCACATTCACCAAATCCCTGTGTCAACGCATGAGCCGCCACCACGTGCGCACGTTGCTGTGGAAGAACGCGCTGCTCAAGAAGCGCCACCCGATCCGCCTCGGCTTTGAGCTCGTGCTGCCGGTCGTCTTCATCGTGATCCTTGGCATCTTGAAGGGGCAGGCCGCCGACATCACCGTCCCGAGCGGCTGGTCGGACAACATGGAGTCGACGTTCTCGTCGTCGGCCTCTATCGCGCCAACGTACTCGGTCTACCAAGGCTACCCGGCCACGTCGCCGGCGCCAGCCAAGTTTGCTGCCACCGAGGCTACCATCTCGGGCCTACTACTGCGGCTGAGCACCATGTCGCTGGCCGAGGGCCGGCGCCTCGACGACCTCTCAGCCACGGACCGCCAGCGCTGCTCGTCGCTCTTTCTCTTCAATGGCGCCATCAATATTGATCCTACGTCGCCGTACGCTGTGCCCACGGCCTGCGCCGGCAAGGTCGTGCCGTACAAGCTCGCGATTGTGCCCGACACGGCGTACACGCGGGCGTACTTTGCCGCTGCCGTCAACGCATGGTACCCGCGCGTGCCGCTGACCAATGCCTCGAGCGGCCTCGTCATCCCGAGCTTCGTCGACGCCCTCGCCTTTTACCATGACGAAGCAGCGCTTGAAAACTACGTCTCGGGTACACACCACTCTGCAATCCCCACCTCATGTACACGACTGTGTAGGCGGCTCGTACGGCCAAGATCTGAGCCATCCCAAGATATACGCGGCCATTGTCTTTGACGTTGCGACGCCGCGCCTCGGGACGGCCGGTGCGCTTTCCTACACCTTGCGCTTCAACGCGACGTCGGGCGATGCGCCGTCGACGGCCGGCGCCGGCGTCGATCCCAACCAAAAAGCGTTGGCTGCCACACCGTACCAGCGGTACCCTACCCCTACCCTAGCCCTACTTGAATCGTATGTGTTTAGGTACGCGCGCAACGGGTTCCTCGCGCTGCAGACGCTTCTGACGCGCTTTGCAGCGTGCGTGCCATCGTGGAACGGGTCGGCCCCGGGCGCCTGCACCGTGGCAGGGAGTACGTCTGTTCAAAGCGACCTCCTCGACGACCGCTTCATGGTGCAAGTCCAGAACGACGATGCGCTGCTTGCCGCTGTCGCAGCCTTCAACAAAGCGTCGGGCGCGTCGCTCACGTTGCGCGAGCTCTCATTCGAGGCGCGGCGCCTGCTGCTCGTGCCATTGCGCCAGGCGCCGCAGCCGTACTTTGGCGGTCTCGTGCTGCCGCTTCCGATATCGGCGTACACGGCGTCGCCCTTCTTTGCGACGGCCGGCGACTTTTTCTCGTTTGTGTTTGTGGTCTCGTACGTCCAGCTCGTGACGGGGCTCTTGGTCGCGCTCGTCAAGGAGAAGGAAACCAGAGCCCGCGAGATGATGAAGGTGCTCGGTGTCACCGACGGTGCGATCGTCGGGTCGTGGATGCTCACGTACGGGATCGTTGTCCTCGTCGTTGCCGCGCTGCAGACGATTGCATCGAGCCAACTGCTCTTCCCCCACACGTCGCCACTGCTCTTGTACCTCTTTTTCGCGCTCTTTGGCTTCGCCGTCGTCGCGTTTGGCTTCTTCATGAGCACGTTTTTTTCGAGGCCGCGCACCGGCGCCTTCCTCGGGCTCGTGGTGTTCCTCCTCCTCTTCCTGCTTGGCCAAGCCTTCTCCACATCGGCGTCCGAAGGCGCAAAGGCGCTCGGGTGCCTCGCACCGCCGGTCGCCATGTCGTTTGGCATCTCGGCGCTGGCCCGCGCCGAGGTCAACGGCGGCGGCATCACATGGCACTCGGCGCATCTCCTCGACAGCCACAACATTCGCTTCGACACGGCGCTGTACATGCTCGCACTTGACACGCTCCTCTTGACGCTTGTCGGGTTCTACTTTGAAAAGGTCATTCCCAAGGATTACGGCGTGCCCGAACACTGGACGTTCCCGCTGCAATGGCTCTACCGATCCCGCGGGGTCTCTTCCTCAGCGACATCGCGAATGTCGGCACGGCTCTTGGCACAACACGAGCCGCCACCACACCCGTATGTCGAAGCTGTCACGGACGACCTCAAACAGCAAGAGCGGACCGGCGACGCGCTGCAGATCCAGTGCCTTCGCAAGGCATTTCTCGGTGACGACAAGATCGAAAAGGTGGCGGTCCACGGCCTCCAGCTCACCTTGTACAAGAACCAAATCACGTGTCTCCTCGGGCACAACGGCGCGGGCAAAACCACATTGCTCTCGATGCTCACGGGCATGCTGCCGCCGACCAGCGGTGACGCGACGCTGCTGCGCGGTCTCTCGCTGCGAAGCGACATGCATGCCATCCGCCAATCGATTGGCATGTGCCCGCAGCACGATGTCCTCTACGACGAGCTCAGCGTCTACGAGCACCTAGCGTTTTACGGCCGGATCAAGGGCTGCGACGAAGCCGAGCTCGACCAGAAGCTCCGGGCCGTTGGCTTGACTGAGAAGCGCCACACACCGAGCAAGGCCCTTTCGGGGGGCATGAAGCGCAAGCTCTCGCTCGCGATTGCCTTCCTCGGCGACAGCCAGATTGTGTTTTTGGACGAGCCGACGTCCGGCATGGACCCGTACAGTCGTCGGCATATGTGGTACACTTGACTTGCTATCTCGATGCATTGAAAGATTGATACTCATGGTGCCTGTGCAGGGAAACCGTGCTCAGCCACCGGCAACACCGCATCATTGTGCTCACGACGCATTCGATGGACGAAGCCGACATCCTCGGCGACCGCATCGCGATCCTTGCCGACGGGGAACTGCGCTGCGCTGGGTCGTCCTTGTACCTCAAGCAAACGTTTGGGGCCGGCTACAACCTCTCGCTCGTCACGACGACCAGCGACCACTTGGCCGACCTCTCGTCGCTCGTCGTGTCGTTTGTTTCTTCGGCAGCCCTCGGCGCGCACGTCGGCACGGACGTCACGTATCAGCTACCGCTCGAGAGCGCACCGAGGTTCCCCGAGCTCTTTGCCGCGCTCGACGCCCAACGCACGCAGCTCGGCGTCGAGTCCTACGGCATCTCGGTCACGACGCTCGAGCAGGTGTTTTTGACCGTCGCCGAGGCGCCCAGCACCGACGGTGACGACGGTGACGTCACCCGCAGTCAGCCCAGTGACCTGTCGCCCACCGTCGACACGTCGTCCGTCTTTCGAATCCTCGAGGCCGCCCCAATGTCCAAGGCCGCTCGGTTTCTTGCGCACTTTCAAGCACTGTGGCGCAAGCGCTACTTGTGCGCCAAGCGCGACCGCAAGATTGTGACGTTTTCGACGCTGTGGCCGGCCGTCTACATTGCGATCGGGATGCTGCTCCTCACGACGAGCGCGACCCGGAAGAACGATCCGCCGATCGAGATGTCGACGCGCGCGTTGCCGCTCGGCGCCGAGACGCCACTGCCGTGGACGTGTCTCGACGGGTCGGACGCGTGGTGCGACGGCGTCACACGCAGTATCCGCGCGGCCGCCGCGTCCTCTTTGCCGCTCATCACGTACCCGACTTCAACGCCGACGGTCTTTGATGTCCCGTACACGATCAACGCCAGCGATACGAGTGGGTACTGCCTCAGCATGGCGCAGACGTCGCTGCCTGCGGTGCTGCCCACCGCATTTGGCCGTGTGCTTCTCTTTACATCGGCGTCGAGCCAAGTGGTCGGGTACGCGCTCTTGAGCAACACGACTGCGACGCACGCGCCGAGCATCTACAAGGCCGCCGTTGATGATGCGCTTGTCCGGTGGGTCACACAGACACCGACGGCCACGGTGGTTGTCATGAGCCATCCGCTGCCGCTCACACAAGCCAGCAAACTGCTCTCGACGACGATCCTCTCGTTCACGGCCACGTCATTCATCGTGGTGGCGATGGCCTACTTTTCAGCGTCGATCGTGCCCTTCCTCGTCCAGGAGCGACATGTGAGCACGAACGTCAAGCACCAGCAGCTGCTCGCGGGCGTGAGCATTCCGGCGTTCTGGCTGGCCAACCTCGCGTGGGACTGCACCTTGTACTTGGTCCCCGCGGCGCTGGCGCTCGGAGCGATCCAGATATTTGATATCACGCCGTACACGGGCGTCGACTGCGCGACGTGCGCCACGAACGCGTTCGCAGTTGTCGTTGCTCTCTTTGTCCTCGCCGGCGTCGCCGTCGTCGGCTTTAGCTACTGCGCATCGTTCCTGTGCAAGGAGCCGGCCGAAGCACAAGGCTACATTATCAACTGCAACATCTACCTCGGCGTGTACCTCATGCTTGTCTCGACGATCCTCGGGCTCGTCCCGTCCACCGAGTCGCTCAACGACGTACGTTCATCTCTGATGTTATGATCCGGAGGGTTCGCTGGGTTGAGTGCGGTTGTAGACGCTGGTGTTTGTGTTCCGCCTCTCGCCCCTCTTCTGCCTCGGCAATGGTCTCTACAGCCTCAGCCTTCGCGCGATCATCGGTCCGACGTCCGGCACCGTGTCGTCGTCGGCATTTTCGACCGAGAATGCTGGCTGGAGCATTGTCTACTTGGCCATCGAAGCCATTCTGTACCCAAGCCTCGCCATTGCTATCGACTACCTCCTCTGCTTTCCGTCGATCGCGGCCTCGTGGCGCCGCCGGACCACGCGCGTCAGTGACGAGCACGACCCAAGCACAATCGACCACGACGTCGATGTTGAAGCCGCACGGGTGCGCGCTGGCAACCATGACGACGCTGTTGTCATGACGTCGCTGCGCAAGACGTACCCCGACGGCAAAGTGGCCGTCGCCGACCTCTCCTTGGGTTTGGGCCGTGGCGAGTGCTTTGGTTTCCTCGGGGTATGTGCTCTTGCTTGTCGATATTTGCCGAATGCATATGTGAATGCGCGTAGATCAACGGCGCGGGCAAGACGACAACGATGAAGATGCTCACGGGCGACATCCTGCCAACGTCGGGTGCGGCAACCCTCGGCGGCCACGACCTCCTGTCGCAGCCGCTCGCCGTGCGCCGGCTCATTGGCTACTGCCCGCAGTTTGACGCCCTCTTTGACTTGCTCAGCGTCCGCGAACACCTCGAGCTCTTTGCTGTGCTCAAGGGCGTGCCAGGTCCCTTGGTCAAGGCCGTGGTCACCGAGAAGCTCTCGCAGTTGCACCTCGAGCCGTTCGCTACGAAACTCGCCAAGACGCTCAGCGGCGGCAACAAGCGCAAGCTCTCAGTAGCGATCGCTCTCATTGGCGCGCCGCCGCTGCTCTTCTTGGACGAGCCATCGACGGGCGTCGACCCGGTCTCACGCCGGTACGATGCAGCACATGTACATAGGGCAACTAACTCATCTTTTGTCGCATTAGGTTTCTCTGGAACGTGCTCGCCGACCTCTCGACCAAGCGCAAGGCGGCCACGATCTTCTTGACGACCCACAGCATGGAAGAGTGCGAAGCGCTGTGCACGCGCGTGGGCATCATGGTCGGCGGCCGGCTTCGCTGCCTTGGCAGCATCCAGCACCTCAAGTCGCGCTTTGGCGACGGCTTGCTTCTCCATCTCAAGCTCAAGCCTGTGGCTACAATGGTGGACGACGCGACCGAAACGGCGATGGATCGGGAGGCAGTGGCGACGTACTGCACGGCCCATGGCCGGCCCGACCGCGTGCACTTGATCCGAGACGACCATCCGACAGGGTATACGCTGGCCGACAGTCTCGCTCGCGACGGCAGCGTCTTCTTGCACGACGTCAGTGCTTGGTGGCGTCGGGAGGACCGGTACGACGCTTGCATTAGCGCGCTGCAGGCGTCGCTGGGCGAGACCAACGTCTCGGTTGTCGAGCGCCACTTGGACGTTTGCCGCCTCAAGATCATTGGCGACAACATGTCGCTGGGCCGTATCTTTGGGCTCATTGAAGAGAAGAAGGCGGCGCTGCATATCCGAGAGTACACCGTGTCGCAGACGACGCTCGAGCAAATCTTCAACAGCTTTGCCAGCGCCCAAGTCGACGAGGTCCGCGTTGCCCGTGGCGTCGCCGCATAAATCAACGACATTTTACATTATGTCTTGGGCCATACTCATATAGGTAGAAAGTGCAGCACACGAGCCAGAACGTGAGCCGTTGGACCGCCCACGAGACGAATGAGCTGCTCGCAGCGGGTGGCTTTTCTTGATAGACAACGCTTCTCTACGTCGAGATGCTGCAAGCATTGCATGTGCATAGGCACTCTGTGGTTGCATAAGTGTTGTTGCAAACCTCTGCGATCATGAAGACTCGAAGACATTTGGCTCAAAAGCTTTTATTGGTGTTGTTATCGTAAGAGTACCAAGGTAAACCTTGATATAGAGAGTGAGCAAGCAACCCGTCGACGTAGATGTTTTCGGGCTCGATGTCGCGGTGCATGACGCCAGCAGCGTGGAGCGCACCGAGGTTGGCCGCGATCTGCCCCGTGAACTTCCGGATCGTCCGGCTCGGCAGCGGCTTGTTGACTTCGTTGTAGTCGAACAAGTCGCCGTGGTAACAGTACTCTGTTGCCAAGAGAAGGTACGAGACCGTGAAATGGCACCCGTGAATCCTTGTGATATTAGGATGGCGCACGTGGTGCGGGACTTCAATCTCCCGCCGGGCGCTCACGTCGATGTGCGCAAGCCGCAAGGCTTTGAGAGCCACCACGTGGCCGGTGGCGATATGGCGGGCTTCTTGTGGTCGCCCTTGCGCCGCGTCGGCGACTTGCCCGAGGCCCAGCTTGGCGGTGGTTCGCGCAGGCGGGCGACAAGCTCCGCCACCTACAGTGCACTACATTGTAGTACCATGCCCACCAGTGGTCGCATGGAGACTTACGTGGTTGTCGTGGCGAGCAGCAGGTGACGCTGGCGCGTGTTGAGGAGCGACTCCTTTCGCAGAAAGGCGCACTGCGTCGAGGGCTTGGCGT